AGAAATGATATTTATAAATCAAATAGTTGTTTACTAATCCTGAATGTGAAAAACTAGTATGTTAAAGTTGGTTGGTTCTCAGCAGAATGTGTAGTTTTATGTCTTGACATTTCCATTTACTAGCAATAGTTGCAGGTTGGGATTTTTGTTTATTAATTAAATAGCAATAGTGATACTTCCTGTGATATGCTATCTAGTACAGAAGTTTGGTAATGGTGGATAATGTCAAAGTTGTCTGTATTCAGTCACACAGAAATACTTTCCTTACTTACCTCAGTTTCTCTAGCATGACTAATTCAAGTGAGGAAGAAAGGTCAGTTTATTTCAGTCAACACATTGGACGCTCCACCCCCACCCCCCCCACGGAACAGGGGTTTGAACTCAGGCCCTTGCACTTGCCAGGCAAGCACTTATTCTACTGAGCCATCTCTCTGGCCCCTGAAAGCTTTTGTTGAAGAGGAACTGCTAAAGTTGTTATAGAGGAGAACTGCTAAAGTTGTATAGACATAAAGTATGTATTTTTGAGATGCTCAAACATTTTGAACTGTGGTACTTTTTGGACTCTTAGACATCCAGTTAGTATGATAGTGGCCTAGTTTAAAAGAGGATGTGAGATATCAGGTATTATTTTCTTTTTTCTTTTTTAACAGCCTTTTAGGTGTCCCTATCGCATATGACAATATCAAAGTTGTGGGTGAACTGGGAGACATTTATGATGATCAAGGACACATTCATCTTAACATTGAAGCAGATTTTGTTGTTTTCTGCCCTGAACCAGGGCAAAAGCTTATGGTATGTATATTATTTTTCCCTACATTTCTTTGCATAATTGTAACTTAGAAAACTTGGACAATATACACACATGCAGTTATACTTTCTATACATGTGTATTTATACATGTGTAGAGAAAGAATATAGATAGAGATATTTTCTTGGATATAAATGTAGTTACTCCTTGCTTTTGGATTTCATTTATTGAGTATTTCATTTTCTATTCTTTTTCTTTGAGTCTCTGTGTGGTTACAGATGAGGTGACTTTCTTATAGAAAGCATGTTGGTATGTTGTTTAGTTGCCACATAGTGTCTTCTAACTGGAAAAGTAAGTCCCTTTGCATTCTGAGTTGCTTTTGAAGAGTATGATCTTGTTCCTGTAATTTTATTGATTTTCTTCTAGTTGTTTTGAATGTTCTTTATTTATGTCTTCCTCCTTTATATTTTTGGTTTGATAGGTTTTTTTCTATTGATAATGCTCTGTTACTTTAGTGTGAGGTTTTTTTATTTTGTGTTTGTGCTTTTGTGCGTTTTCATCTGCTTCTGAGTGTTAGGTTCACTTAAGAATCTTTTGTAAGGTTTATCTGGTTGCTGTGAATTCCTTTCATTTATACTTAAACCTGGAAATTTTTTTCTCCCTCTGAAGGATAGCCTTGTTGAGTGTGGTAATCTTGGTTGACAAGTATTTCCTTTCAGAATGTGAGGTACATTGTTCTCTTTGTGCCCAATGACCTCCTGGCCTTTAAAGGATCTACTGTTTATCTAATGAGTGTGCCGTGAAATGTGGTACCTATTTCTCGTAGAATTTTATATTAATTTTTCCTGTAATTTCAACAGTTTTAGTATGTGTTGTAAAGGGACTATTTCCAGTTGCTTCTTTGTGGGGTCCTAGAATATTCCTATTCCTGGATTTTCATGTCTTTCCAAAGACTTGGGAAGTTTTCTGCTGTTACTTCATTGAATGGTTTTCTGTGTTGTGCTAATGACTTCTAACCATAGACTTGACTGGGTTGACTCCATTAAGAGACTCCCAGATAGGTGTTTAATCATGGAGGTGCTAATCTTACTCATGGATTAATCTGCTGCTGTTCATAGCAGAATGTCTGTTAGGAAGCGGAATGCAGTTGGAAGTAGTCAGGGGAGACATGCCTTTAGAGCCCCCCCCCCCCTTCCCATGTCCTATGTCCTGTCACAACTTTTGTCTGCCATACCTTCAAACTATATTTCTGCTTCACAGCCAGAATAACCCAGATTACCATTTTCTGAGCCCTTAGAAACCTCTTTTCCTTTGAATTGAAAGTTTTAAGTGTTTCATTCAGCAGTAAGAAAACTGACCAGTCTATATCCTTTTACCTTTATTTCTTCTTCAGATGATCAGTTATGTAGATCTTTGTTTTTTTTTTTTTTATTTATTTAATGGTATGCACAAGAACTTGATTGATCTTTCTTTTCGTATATATGTTCAGTTGCTCAACATATCAGTGTGGTTATTTTGTTTTCTAGTTTCCATACTAAAGGTATGAGTAGTTTAAATATCATAAAAATACTAGAGCGTTTTGAGTTTTTCAGTGTTTCAAAAGACGTGTATTGAAACTACAGTAGTCAGTACAAACTTAGACAAGGGGTCTCTGCTGTGGCTGCTGTTTCCCAGCTCCAATGCCCTGAGTTTGCTAGGCTGTGCAGTATACTGCAGTGCATCCCTTCTCTAATGTCAGCCAACTGTGATGACAAAATATTAGCCATTTAGGCTATCCATCTATAGGGTGCTGGTTTTTGTGCAGATAGACATTATTGGGACTCTTTGTTTTTCACCTTTACTCTTACAGTGGGTAGGGGAGGTCTACTTTTGGGGCCAGTTGACAAGTACCAGTGTATTTCGTTTCTATTGCTATTCCATTGTCCTGTGTCTAAAAATCATGTAAAACACACTTTGATTTCATTGTTTTGTGATTTAGCCAGAAGGCTATCTTCAAAGTTTATATATAGAGGGTAAACTGTCTGCTCATAGGACTGCTTATATAATGCTAAATTGAGTCATTAAAGAATATATTTCTGAGCTTTAAAATAAAATCTGGATCCAGAAATATAATGTG